CCACCCCCCACTCAGGGGGGTCCACCGTCCACCCACCCTCCACTCGGGGGGTCCGCCCTCCACCCACCCCCCACTCGGGGGTCCACCATCCACTCCACCCTCCACTCAGGGGGGTCCACCGTCCACCCCACCCCCCACTCAGGGGGTCCACCGTCCACCCACCCTCCACTCGGGGGGTCTTCCCTCATCCCACCCCCCACTCAGGGGGTCCGCCCTCCACGCTCTGCTGGGAGCCACCTCTTCCCACCCCTAACTGGGTCCTGCTCCCCCCACGTGAGGATGGGGCCTGAGGCCCGGTCCTGGTTGGGTTGGGGTCACCCACTGGAGAGAGGCCCACTCTCTTGCAGTGATTTTAAAGGGACATCTTGGTGCCCTTGCCTGCTGCCACGGGGCTGGCCTGGCCCCCTCTCGGTGAATCCAGATGTCTCCCCAACTTGGAATCCAGGTGTTGGGGATCCTGGCCCTTCTCTGTCCCAGAAGTTGCTGGGTTATTTTTTGGAATCCACCTTCCTCTCCCTGGGGGAGGAGACACAGGCTGGGCACCTCCCCCGGCCCCCACAACCCAGAGACTCACTTGGGAGGAGCCAGTCCGGTTCCTGAGCCTGGCTGTGGGCAAGGTGAACCTGAGACGTGGCCTGGCCTCGTGGCCTTCCCTTCCTGCCTCTCCAGGGCCCTCTAGTCTCCATGGCCACATGAAGACCCCTGTGGGTCACAGGCCACAGGCTGGGGTTTTGAGAAGGTCCCATGGGAGACCTACCGTGAGGAGCCAGCCAGGCAGTCAGCGGGGACGTCCCCGTCTCAGCCACTGCAGTCCCTGGTCTGGGTTTCGCTGAGATTGAAAGGTGCCTCTGCCCACAGGGCGCCCCGGTGGGGGAAGACCTGCTCATCTGGGTTCAGGGAAGGAGGGCGCTGTGCCCACTTGTCCCGCCACCCTCGGCACCAGCCAGCTGCTGCTCCCTGACCCCAGGCCCCAGTGCAGCCCCCACTCCCAGGCCAAGAGCCCCCTGCAATCCAATCCTGACATTGGCCGGGCCTGGCCAGGTTCTAAGGGGATCGGGGTCACAGTGGGGCTGATCCAGGCTGACGAAGGAGCCTGCTGGTGGCTGGGGCGGGGGTCCCAGTGGACACACTCCCCCTCTGCCCCCGTCCTGCCGCCAGCTCAGTCTGCTGGCCAAGCAGGATGGCATGACAGGGGTAGTGGGTTGCGGAGGGCTGGTGGAGCCAGTGCCCCCGGGTCTGGGCTTCAGCAGGTCCCTGACCGTCCCTGCTTCGGGCAGCTTTGACGAGGGTGTGTGAGATGTCCCTCCAGGGCTTCTGACCCCTGACAGTCTGGCAGGAGCACCTCCAAGGTCACCTCCAGGTGTAGGGAGTGTGCAGGAGGGTGGTGTGCAGATAAAGCCAAGGCTCGGGCTGTTGGGTGCAGGCCGGACCGGCGAGCAGGTGTGCAGTGGCTCCACCCACCCCCGTGGAGAGCTGGGGTCGTGCCCCGGCCTCCGTTTCTCCATCTGCAGTATGGAAGAGGATAAGGCGACCTCCCAGCCCGGCACTCTGGGATCTTGGCCACGATCCAGAATGGGGGAGGGGTGTAAGAGGAGAAGCCCTGGCAGCAGCCCCGAGACACCCCCAGCCCCGTTCCCAGGCAGGTGCCAACATGGAGGCGGGCCCAGGATCCACAGGAGGGTCCTGATTCCATGGGGGGTGGGAGGTCATTTGCCTCCAGGCAAGATTCCAGCAGCTTCCATTTCCCAGGGACTGGTGGCTGGTGCTGGTCGGTGGTCCTTCCACTGCACCCTCAGAGCCGCAGCCCCGGGCCTGGGACCAGTAGGGATTGCCACGGCTGGCAATTGGATTGCCAAGGCTCCCGTTTCACAGAGGGGGACATGAGGTGGGGATGACACACCCAGGGTCACAGTGTACCAGTGGCAGAGCAAGGACCCCGGTCCAACTGCCTTAGAAGGGAGCCCTGATCCGACCCTGGGGAGGCAGAGATGGGGGGAGCCCACATTTCCCCCAGGGTTTGGGCTGTCCCCCACACACAGCCAAGTGGGCTGGCCCAACAATGAGGACGGCTGGCTCTCCCTGCTGGGCCACCCCCTTCAGGGCCAGGATCTGGTTGCCCCGGCCGGCTACCCCTAGGCCTGGCGTAGCCCCACGCAGGGCTGTGACCTCCCTGGGTCTCCAGTGCAGGCTGGGCTGAAGAGGGTGCTGCAGGCGCGGGAGGAGTCACGCCCCGCTCAGCTGAGTCTGGAGTCGTTGGGAAAGTGACCTGCAGCCCTAGCGTTCCCTCTCAGGGCAAGGCCTTCTAGCATGGAAGCCTCCGAGCCCACCCCCAGCGTCCCGGGGCGGACCGGGCAGGCCCCAAGGACCCACAGGCCCCGGAGGCGACGCCCTGCTGGGACCCGCTGGCGCAGGCGGCCGCGCGGAGCCCACGGGAGGGATCTGGGGAGCGGGCGTGGAGGACCAGCCTGGAGCCGCGGGGGAGGCAGCGTCGGCGGGGCTCCAAGCGCCCAGGGTGGCCGCACCGGCCTCCGGACACGCCGACCCCCACCTCCCTCCCTCCCCTCCCCGCCTCTCCCGGGCTCGCTCCTTCCCCCCCCCCCCTCCTCCAGGTGTTTCCGTGGGGGCGGCGCGGCCCTCACACTCCAAAGTCGCGCCCCCTCCACGCCCCGTGCGCCCCACTCTGTGCCCCCGGCGCTTCCCGCGCCTCCCTGCTCGCACCCCTGAGTCCCCCGCGCCCCCGTCTGTGCTCCCCGCGCCCCCCTCCGCCCTCCCCCCTCGCCCCCTCGCCCCCCGCGCCCTCCTCCGGCTCCATCTAGGCCCCGGCCCTTTGCAGCCACCCGGCCACAGATGGAACCCATTACGCCCCAGCGCCTCTCGGGACGCCCCGCTAATAAGTGACCCTCTGTAAATGTTAGGAATGAGTCAAGTTCACGCCGAGCTGCTGCCTTCCCGTTAGCGGGTGGCGCCGCCGATGCCCGGGGGAGCGCCGGGGCGGGAGCTGCCGAGCAGGCGGAGGGGGCGCAGAGCCCTTCCCGGCCTGGGGGTGGAGCGGGGCCTGCCTGTCTCTGCTCCAAGAGGAGCCTGGGGTGCCTCTTGCCACCCCGATGGGCCTCCGCTTCCTCCTCCCTCCCCCGCAGCAAAGTCCGGGGTTTAGGGCAGAATGGCTGAGCCCCTTCCAGCCTCTCTCCTGGTTGGTGGTCTTGGCACCTGGCTCCCAGCTGGGCCCAGGAGGAGGAGCAGGGACGTCCCTCCCCCCACACGGGGCAGCTGCTCCCAAAGGGGCCCATTCCCCTCCCCAAGAGAAGGCAATGGGGTAACATGCAGTGAAGGCGCCCCCCAGGACCTCCCAGGGGACTGAGACGCAGACCCTGGAACGGTTGTCAGGAGGACAGCCGGGCTCACACTGGCCGGGGCTGTGAGCAGGCTGAGGGGCTGCGTTTGCTGAGGGGCTGTGAACAGGGCCTCTCCGCATGATGCTGAGCCCGGGTCTGCAGTGACTCTCCAACCCCGGAGGTGGGGATCAAGATCTTTGGGATGCAGATGGAGGAGGCGGCCTGTGTCCAGGGAGGGTCCGGAACAGCCTGGCAGCGGGAGCCCGGTGCCAGATGACTAGAGGGTCTCAGGGAGAGCCAAGAGGAGACGGGAGTCAGGAGGCGGCCAGGTGGTTGCCCACCAGGACCAGAGCAGGAGGAAGACCCAGGAGGCACAGGGTGGCAGAGCTGCCCTGCGGAGCCGGGGAGAGGGGTCCTCCATGCCCAGCTCCCATGCCAGCATGGAGGACTCGGGCGGTCTCTGGGTGCCATGCTGCAGAGCCCTCGAGAGTGGAGATCTCCTCCCAGCAGCCCCTGCCAAGCGTCTGGTCACCCTCTACTAGTTAATTTGCTGCCTAAAATGCAGATATGCTTAGTGTGGCAGGCCAGGGCTCAGCTGTGACCTTCCGTGTCCCCTCGGGGTGCCGTCCGGGCCTCTGCTGGCTTGGCACCGGCGGCTTCCATGTTCACAGGGCCTGCGCCTCCTGCAAACGGTCCGTCTTCTGTTCCATCTGGCAGGGAGCCCCTGCCCCAGGGCCCAGGCCCTCCCCCGGCTGTGCCCCTGTCCAGCAAAGCCCAAGACCCGGAAAACCAGGCTGGGGTCCCCAGGACACCCCTGCACTCCTGGGGCAGAAGGGTGGCTACTCAGCAAACACCCCCCAAGGTTGAACGCAGGTCCCAGGCCTTCCTGCCCGCTTCTGGGCCTATTGGAGCCTCTTCCCTGGCAGCTTTCAGGACCCACCTGGGAAGGAAGGCTGTTTCGCTGCCCTCACTGCCCCTGCCCACGCAGCCCTCTGAGGACAGCCTGAGGGTAGGAGCCCTAGACTCTGCCCAGAATTCACGGGCATGGGAGGAGAGGACTCCGAGGGTCCTGCTCATCTTCGGAGCCCCAAGCGCGCAGCCCCGGGCCTGCCCACCCTCCAGACGAACCCGGCCTGTGGAGGGGCAGTGGGCAGCTGCGCTGAGAAGGATGGGTTCAGCCTCTGCCCTCCGACCCGTCCTCAGCCCCTCCTCCACGCTGGAGTCTGTGACTGCTGGGTGGGGTCTGGGTCTCTCCTCTGGCTCCACTGTGCAAACAAGCCGTGAGATCACCGGCTCCAGGTGGGCGAGGATGCTGGGTTTCTTGTGGAGCAGAGGCAAAGGCATTCCCAGAGGACCAGTGACCACCGAGTCACCGCTCAGCCCAGCCCCCACCAAGATGGGGCCGAGCCCCAAGCGCAGAACCTGCTGACCTGGGCTGGGTGTGGCCCTCCTCTCCAGAACCTGGGGACAGGCACAGCTCCTCTCCACAGGCTGAGGACCGAGGCATGTGCCTGAGTGACCTGCCCAGCCTCACCCTGTCCTCTCCATGGCACGTCACTACCTTGGGGTGGCCCTGTGGTGGCCCCACTCACTCAGTGGAATTGTAAGGGGTTGCCTGGCAGCTGCTGGGTGCTGCCAGCTCCAGGTGTCTCTGGGGGTGTCTTTCAGAGACTGGAGGACACCGTCCTGAGCCCCATGGCCAGCAGGGAAGACCGGGTGCTGAAAGTGCGTGGGGAAGGCCGGCGGGCCTCGCCCACCCCTGTGCCCGCCCGCATCCGGGAGATCGTGGCCGGCAGCCTGGCTGAAGAGCCACCCCAAGGTGACAGTGTGGGGGACTGTCCGGGGCCCCGGGCTGGCCCCACCCCCACAGAGGCATCACATCAATACCCCCAGGGCGCTCAGCAGGGCCCGAGCCAGGGCGGCCTCTGTGTGGCACACTGTGGCCACCTAGGCTTAGATTCACCGGTGTTGGTGTCTTCCTCAGAGTGGAAATGCTAGACATGGGTACCCAGGGAGCGCAGATGCCCACCACCCTCCCTAGCTCTGTCATTGGCACTCCGGGGGCACAGATACCCACCCCCCAGCTCTGCCCATCATTGGCACTCATGGGGCACAGATGCCCACCCCCTGAGCTCTGCCCAGCCTGCACCCACCCCAGGCCCCTGCGCTGCCTCCAATCACCCACCTGGCAGCTGAGGAACCAGCTCCCGGTTGCCTGACGTGTGTGCCCAGGACTCCCTCGTGCATGGGTCCTGGGGACCCCTCTCCCCCCGGGTCTGTCCAGCCTCCTGCAGGCCCAGGGAACTGGCCGTGTGTGTAGTAAGGAAGGACACCCCACTGTATTTACAGAAGGCCCTGATTACTTGGGGACCAGGTCCCTTCCCCCCGAAGCAACAGGGCGGGCAGCTTCCTGGACAGGGCAAGTGCCAGTGTCCTGGCCACCCACGCACTCACTCTGCTGCCACTGGTTTGAGGGCTCGGCCTGGGCCGGGACCTGGGACCGCACTGGGGTTCCAGGTGCTCAGGGGTGGCAGGATTTCAATTCACATGAGAGGAAGTAGGGCTCCGAGTGTGATTTCTGCCTCCCTGCCAGGGTCCCGGGGTCAGAGCTGTAGAAGGGGGTAGGCCAGCAGCTGGAACCCAGTGGCCAGCCCAGAGTCCCACCGTGGGGACAGAGCACAGGGCAGGGTGCGGGTGGACCCCAGGCCGGCCACCCGCGCTGACCCGGGCGCCGTCAGCAGGGGTGCGGGAGCCGACAGCCACTGTGGCCCGGGTGCAAGAGGAGAACGAGCTCCTGCAGGAGGAGCTGGACCGGCTGCGGGACCTGCTGGCCCAGGCCGGCGCCGAGCGGGATGAGCTGGCCAGCAGGTGCCACGTGGTCAGCGAGCAGGTGAGTGTCTGCAGCAGACTCCGGGCAGGTGGGTAGAGACAGTCCAGCCCTTGGCGAGGGGTCACTTGTCAGGACTGCCAGGATTTCTAAGACTGGCACATTCCAATCCTGGGCAACAGACAGGGAAACTGAGGCAACAGATAGGCGAGCTGAGGCCACGCAGGACGTGCCCAGGCCTCTCCCTGAGGCCCAGCGTGTCCCCTAGGTCAGGTCTCACGACCCAGCTTAGGCCCTGACTTGTCCCCGCACCTGCCCGGGAGCACTGCGGGACGGCCTGTCCAGTCCTGACCCTCGGGGCCCAGCGCTTCGCCCAGCACGGGCACAAAGCCGGGACCTGCACAGCAGAGGAAGGCCGGCCGGCAGGCGCCGACCCCACCTCGGACCGAGCTCGGGGAGAAGTGGCTCCAGCCCAGCCCCTGGCCCTTTCCTGACCACTGAGGCCGGGGGGCCACTGGGATCTCAGGACAGGGAAGGGGCCAGAGGCAGGGCTGTCTCTCTAGTCCCCTGGCGGCTGTGGCGCCTTCCAGGGTGACCTGGGAGGTGCGCGAGCCACATTTAGTCAGGAAATGTGGAGCTGAGAGGGCTGCACTGTGTAGACAGGGAACCAAGGCAGAAAGGTGAAGCAACCCGCTGGGCTAGGGCCTCCCTCTCTCCTGAGCCGCTCAAGGCATGCTGGCTTGTGAGGCCGGACCAGGCAAGCAGCCGGTACGTGGAACGGGGTGTCCAGCCCACCTTGTGGAGACTCAGGGCCCCCGCCGCACCCATGCCGTCTTCAGAGCCCCCCGGTTCTGCATGGCAGGTCAGATGACCCCACTTTCCTAATAAGGAAGTCGAGGCAAAGAGCCAGTCAGTGACCACCCAGGCCACACCGCCATTGCTGGGGTGGAGATCTGAACCCCTGAGCCAGGTCTGGCCCCTTCTCAGTCACATGACCAGTGGCCACTACTGAATGCCTGAGGGGTCCGCAGTGGGCCTCGCCTTCTGGAAGCGTCCTTCCCAGGACGGACGGCAGCACCCACAGGGGGGCCATCCGTTCTCCTAGGGCCCGGCTCTCCGCTCCCCCCCCCTGTTCTCAGGTCATGACCCCCCTTTGGAAACACGTTCCATTGTTGGCGGCACCCCTGGGGGCCCCTGAGGGCAGGACCGCCTGATGGGGGCCCCAGCACATCCGGGAGCTGCCAGCCAGCCAGCCCACTCCTCCTGGGAGCCCCGACAGCTGTGGGGAGGCTTCTTCCTGGCACGGGGTGGGGAGATGTTGGGAAGAGGCCGGAGGGAATAGAAGCCGCGGAAATCCTGCGACCGATTAGTAAGCTGCGTGAGTCAGATCCGAACTCGCCAGCAGCCCAGTACACGCCAGCTCCTGGCGGCTCAGCAGGCAAAGTGTGGGTGCCAGGAGGCTGGGTCTCCTCCAAGCTACCCCCGGGACAGGCAGAACGGGGTCGCAGCGGCCCGAGTGCCTGGCTGTGACATCCCCATCCTAAGGTGGCACTCCCAGACCCCACCGGCTCCACCACAGTCTTCTGACGCCGCCTTCTCTTCCGGCTGCTGGCTGAGGGGCCCCTCGGCTCTGCCGTGCATTCAGCCGGGGCGCAGCCACAGGAGGCCCCAGGCCCGCTGCCCTCCCCTCCGCCCCTCCACCTGGGCCTTCCCTGGCCCTTGGTTTCCTGGGCCCGGATTCAGTCTTGGCCTCAGTGGTGGCAGAGTGGCCCTGGACAGCCGGCCCTCGTCCTGGTGGGTGTGGCCCTGCCCTGTAGGTGAGGTGCTAGACTCAGGCAGGAGCCCACGGGAGGACACCCACGCTCACTCACTCTCCAGCGGGTGGCCCAGAGGTGGCCCTGTGACTTTCCATCCTGCGCTTTGTGGGGGAACCCAGCCCTGAAGCCCCTCCCCCTGCCCTGACAGCTGGGCTGAGTACCTGAGTAGCTGGGACAGGGGGGCCTCAGTTTACCCATCTGCAAGCGAAACGTGGCCATTCTCCAGCAGCCCCCAGAGCCGTGCCCCCACTTGGCCACCATGCTCACACCGTCCTCAAAGCCTGACGGGATTGGCACGTGACTGCAGGGCCCGGGCCCCTTCCCTCCCCTGCCAGCTATGAGCACTCGGGGCAGAGTATGGAGGCCGCCTGTCAGGCTCATTGTGTGGAGGGGCCTGGGCCTCGCCAGACCCAACCCAGCCTCTGCTGTGGGACCCCGGGGAGCCGCGTCTTCTGCTCTGGGGAGCCCCCTCGCCCGCCCCCGGGGAGCCTTGTCTCCCACCCCTGGAGAGCCCCGGGGTCGGCTTTGTGCCCAGGGTGCCCAGCCCCTGCCCGGCAGGCCCTCCCTCCTCCTCAGCTGCAGGCCCGGCTGCGGAGGTCAGAGCTGGAGCACAGCGTGGATCTGGAGGAGGCCCTGGGCCGCCTGGAGGCCGCCGAGCAGAGGTGAGGCCGGGTGGGGACAGCCTGCCCCGAGGGGCACCGCGCCCCTCTGCCTTGGGGGGTGCGGGCAGCTCTCCCCGCAGCATCCGGGAGTTCCGTTTCCTCGTGGGAGTCGTCCGGGCCTCACGGGCAGGGCAGGGGCCTGGAGAAGGAGCGACTGGGAGTGGGGACCGACCCGCGGCTGGTGGGGGGCCTGAGTGGAAACGCGGGGAGACGCTGGCCCCGGCTCAGCGTGGGCCTCTGACCCAGGCCCCGCATCGCGGCCTCAGCGCGGCCGTCACTGATGTCTACACACAGCGTCGCTGTCAGACCCGCCCCTCCACACGCCACGGGCAGGGTCCCCCACGGGGAGCCGCCTCTCCACGCTCCACCGTGCTCCCTGCCACGTCCCTGCCACGTCCCTGCCACGGGTCAGCCTGGCTCACGAATGGCAGGGAGGGAGCGGCAGAGAGCCAGCGCTGACGTCAGGGCGCGGTGACAGACCCTGGCCCCAGCCGCACCTGGGTCCAGCGCCCACCCGACCCCCCTCGCTGCCCACTCTCACACCCTGCAATGGCGCTGACCATGACAAGCCTGGGTTTACTGAGGGGGCCTCTGCCCGGCCCCGCCCTCCCCCTACAGGTTCGAGGCCTGCGGGTGGCTCACCCCCGGGGGGGATCCCTGCCCTGTTCTCTGAGTCGCCCGGGCTCTCCACGGCCCCCCACCAGCCCAGCCCACCCAGGGCCCCTCAGCTCATGTCTCCCTTCGCCAGCTGTCCCTGCTTGCTGCCTTCCAGCCTCTCTGATTTCATAGTCAGGGGCTCCTGGTAAGCAGATGTCACACCCAGACCCTAACAGCAAGCCCCCACCACTGCCCGGGTCCCCCACTGCCCGGGTCCCCCACTGCCCCGGCCCCCACACTGCCCCTGTCCCCCCACACTGCCCCTGTCCCCCCACACTGCCCCGGTTCCCACACTACCCCGGTCCCCCCACACTACCCCGGTCCCCCCACACTACCCTGGTCCCCACACTGCCCCTGTCCCCCCACACTGCCCCTGTCCCCCCACACTGCCCCGGTCCCCCCACACTGCCCCTGTCCCCCCACACTGCCCCTGTCCCCCCACACTGCCCCTGTCCCCACACTGCCCCTGTCCCCCCACACTGCCCCTGTCCCCACACTGCCCCGGTCTCCCCACACTGCCCCGGTCCCCCCAACTGCCCCGGTCCCCCCACACTGCCCCTGTCCCCCCACACTGCCCCGGTCCCCACACTGCCCCGGTCCCCACACTGCTCTGGTCCCCACACTGCCCCGGTCCCCCCACACTGCCCCGGTCCCCACACACTGCCCCGGTCCCCACACACTGCCCCGGTCCCCACACACTGCCCCTGTCCCCCCACACTGCCCCTGTCCCCCCACACTGCCCCGGTCCCCACACTGCCCCGGTCCCCACACACTGCCCCGGTCCCCACACTGCCCCTGTCCCCCCACACTGCCCCGGTCCCCACACTGCCCCTGTCCCCCCACACTGCCCCTGTCCCCCCACACTGCCCCGGTCCCCACACTGCTCTGGTCCCCACACTGCCCCTGTCCCCCCACACTGCCCCGGTCCCCACACTGCCCCGGTCCCCACACTGCCCTGGTCCCCACACACTGCCCCTGTCCCCCCACACTGCCCCGGTCCCCACACTGCCCCGGTCCCCCCACACTGCCCCGGTCCCCACACTGCCCCTGTCCCCCCACACTGCCCCGGTCCCCACACTGCCCCTGTCCCCACACTGCCCCTGTCCCCCCACACTGCCCCGGTCCCCACACTGCTCTGGTCCCCACACTGCCCCTGTCCCCCCACACTGCCCCGGTCCCCACACTGCCCCTGTCCCCCCACACTGCCCCTGTCCCCCCACACTGCCCCTGTCCCCACACTGCCCCTGTCCCCCCACACTGCCCCGGTCCCCACACTGCCCCTGTCCCCCCACACTGCCCCTGTCCCCACACTGCCCCGGTCCCCACCGTAACCAAGGCCACTAGTCTCCCAGACGTGGGGAGGTAAATTGTTTGTAGAATATTACCACCCTTGGTTCATCCTCCAGGAATCTGGAAAAGGAATAAAAGTGCTGAGAGGGGTTTGAAACCCCGTTTTCAGAGGGAAGAACAATACCCAAGAGGAGGCTTAGGCCTGGTGGGCGGAGAGGAGCAGAGAGTGACCCTGGCGGCCGTGGGCTCCCGAGAGCAGGCCACCCACCTGGTGGAGTTGCACCCCCACTGCAGCAAGTGCAGACCTCCTGGTGGGGGAAGCACCAGGGTACAGCAGGGGCCCCCCACCAGCACGTCACCCTGCCCCTCGAAGGGTGCCTCCTCCGCCCTGGCACCTTGTCTCGGGCACTGAGGAGTGGGCCAAGGTTGTAGACGCAGAGCCAGGGAAGCTCAGGGTGGGGCCTGGGGAGAGCAGAAGGCAGGTGTTGCAGGAAGGCGGGAGGGCACTGGGCTGGCACCTGGGAGCACCACCTTGATGCTGGCACTAGGTTTCGGGGTTTCTTGTGGGGCCCATGGCAGGTGGGGGCAGAGTGGAGGCCGTGCATCTGGACCGGGGTTGGCGGGCCCAGAGGGTTTGGGGCTCCACCGAAGCTCCTTGACTTGGGCACTCTGAGCGCCTCTCTTGGGAGAGGCCGCCAGCCCCGCCGTGCCCTGTGGGTTCTCTGTCCAGGAGCACCGGCCTGTGCCAGGTGAACGCCCTCCTGCGGGAGCAGCTGCAGCACATGAAGAAGGCCAACGACACACTGGCCCGGGAGCTGGCGGGGACCACGGGCAGCATGCGGCGCCTGCAGGGCGAGCTGGAGCGGAGTCGCCGGCCCCAGAGACAGGTCCGCCCCGCCCGCACCCATCCCGTGGCGGCCCCTGTCTGGGTGGCTGTGGCGGGTAGCCAGCGGGGACCGGGAGAGGGTGCCATGTCCCCAGTTCGGCCTGGCCACAGCAGTCTGTGGGGTGAGGGACTCCCCGGTCCGCCCCAACTCTCCCTGAGCCAGAGAAGGAGAGCGGGGCTCTGAGAAGGGGCGCGTGTGGGCCCCCCTGTTTGAGAAGCTGGTTATCTCCATAGGCCGAACTCCTGGCCAGACTTCAGGAGAGGGCACCCTGGCAGGAACCCAGGGCTGCGCCTGGCAGTGGCCCTCTAGACCCCCTGCAGCCTTACCCACTCCAGCTTCTGAAGCCCTGAGCCATACGGGGGTCAGGGCCCAGGGCTCCAGGCATCAGCCCCTGGGGAGGGAGACGTCCAGGTGTTCGCGCCTTGCTCGGATATTTCTGTGGTTGTGGGACCCCCTGAAGCTGGTGTGGCCTTGGGCCATGTGGCACTCCAGCCAGACAGTCCCTGGGGCTGAAGGTGTTCCCAACAGCCCTCCAGCAAAGGGTACCTGGACGCCCAGCCCCTGCACACCACGGGCAGCACAGGCAAGGAGTCCCCCGGGGAGAGGGTCCCCCTAGAAGGTGTGCTGCGCCAGATGGAGGCGGGAGCCGGAGGGGCGGCTGAGTTGCCAGCCTCAGGCTGCCTCCAGACGTCCCTCGGACAAGCCTGTCCCAGAGGGGCGACACTCGCCTCCCGCTCGGGCCGGGTCCCAGCCCCAAGCCCCGGGCAGCTGCGGCTCCGAGTTTACACCTGGAGGGGGAATGCCGGCCTCTGCAGGGTGTCGCCGGGAGCCGGGGACCAGCGAGAACCCACCGCCTAGGCCAGGCCTTCGGGCTCCAGGCATTTGAGGCAGATCTCACGTTCCCACTGCCCGGTCCCCGTCCTCGGACCGCCGGGCAGGTCCCCTGGTGACCGCTGCGTGAGAACAAACGCGGGAAGGGAGGGTCCCTGAGCTCAGGCTGGCATTGGCTCACCGGGCTCTTACCTCCTGTGTCCTTGAGAGCCGTTCTCAAGGTCGACACTGTTTTCCCTCCGCACCCTGAACCGCTGCTCCTGCTGCGGAGTCCGCGTCCGGCCGCCCGCATTCTGACGGGCTCCTCGTGGGGGTGACGCGCCTCCTCACCTGGCGCTCTGAAGACCCGGCTCCGGCTTGGGTGTCGTGCCGCACCCCCGGGTCGTGCCTGCGTGTAGATTTCTGTTTATTCCGCTTCCGGGTTCTCGGAGCTTCTGTGTCACCTGCTATTTTCGGAATGTCGGTATCTTTAAACGCTGCCAGGGCTTGGCGTCCATCCCCCCGTCGGAGCCCCCCAGACGTGTGTCCGCCCTCCCTACGCCGCCTCTCATGCACAGTCCGCGGTTTTGTTCTTTTATCACCCCGGACTCCATTCTAGGTCATTTCTTCGCATTTCCATTCCTGTCCATCAGGCTTCTCTTCTGAGGTCTAATCTCTGTTAAACTTGCCTACTTAGCTTAAATTGCAGATATTGTATTTTTCATCAAGAGTTCTGTTTGATTCTTTCCCAGATAGTAAATATCTTACCCTTAACTCACTTTTTTTTTTTTTCTTTTTGAGACGGAGTTTCGCTCTTGTTACCCAGGCTGGAGTGCCATGGCGCAATCTCGGCTCACCGCAACCTCCGCCTCCTGGGTTCAGGCAATTCTCCTGCCTCAGCCTCCTGAGTAGCTGGGATTACAGGCACGTGCCACCACGCCCAGCTAATTTTTTTTTTTGTATTTTTAGTAGAGACGGGGTTTCACTGTGTTGACCAGGATGGTCTCGATCTCTCGACCTCGTGATCCACCCATCTCAGCCTCCCAAAGTGCTGGGATTACAGGCTTGAGCCACCGCACCCGGCTTTTTTTTTTTTTTTTTTTTTTTGAGACAGAGTCTTGCTCTGTCACCCAGGCCGGAGTGCAGTGGCACAATCTCAGCTCACTGCCACCTCCACCTCCCAGGTTCGAGCAAGTCTCCCGCCCCAGCCTTCCAAGTAGCTGAAATTACAGACATGAGCCACCAGGCCTGGCTAATTTTTGTATTTTCAGTAGAGATGGGGTTTCACCATGTGGACCAGGCTGGTCTCAAACTCCTGATCTCAGGTGTTCCACCCACCTCAGCCTCCCAAAATGCCGGGATTACAGACGTGAGCCTCCATGCCCAGCTTCTTAACTCACGTTTCCAAGCCTCTTATTTATTCGCCAGAGCAAGCTTGACATCGTCTTTTTGTGGCCTGTGTGTATCTAATACCTGAGGTTCTCTAAGGTCTGGTTCTGTCGTTTCTGCTGGTTTCTGATCATGGTCCTTTCTTTCCTTGTGCCTTTGCTGATTTTTTACATTTTAACTAAGAGCTGCTTATTTTCCTTGGAACTTGGCGAAGTTTCTTCGAAACGTGAGGCGAATACAGTATTTTCCAGGAAGGAGTTTTGTTTGCTTCTGATAGATGCTGAGGGGCTCTAACAGTCTTTGGGGCCACATTGAAATACATTTTCAGCCTGAGTTTTCTTGAGACTATCCTGGTTGTGTGAATTCAGCTGCAAACTGTGTGAAGTCTAAGTGTGGTTCCAAATCCAGGAGGAAGACTTTTTTCTCTGTTAACTCCAGCATTCTAGACAGGCATTTTTCCTTATGTCCTACAGGGTGCAGTGTGTGTGTGTGTGTGTGTGCGCACACCTGCACACACACGTGTGTATATGTGTACACGTGTATGTGTTCATGTGTATACATGTGTGCTCATGCATGTGTGCATGTATGCATGTGTGTGTGCATGCCTGCACCCTCACACATGTGTATACCTGTCTGCGTGCATGTGTGCATGCATGTGTGTATGTGTGCATGTGTGTGCATCTGTGTGCATGTGTGTTCGTGTGTGTTCATGTGTATACATGTGTGCTCACACATGTGTGTATGTATGTGTGTGCATGTGTGTGCGTGTCTGCACCTGCATGTGTGTATACTCGTGTGCATGTATGTGTGCATGCACTTCCGTGTATATGTGTGTGTATGTGTGTGCATGTATGTGTATGTGCGTGCATGCGTGTGTGCGTGCATGCTTGTGTGTGTGCGTGTGTGAGTGTGTGTATGTGTGCACATACATGCCTGCACACTTGTGCATGTGTATATTTGTATGCGTGTATGTGTGTGTGCACACGTTTTTATGTGTACATGTGTATGTGTGCATGTGTGCATGTGTGTGCGTGTACGCACCTGCACTTAGCAAGAATTGCCTACATTCCCCGATGGTCCATGATTTCACTAACTGCTGGCCTGAGTGTTCCAACCGTTCAGGCCAGCCCAGCCGTGCATTCAGGAAGAGGCTGTGAATCAGAGGGTTTTGCCTTCCAGAGGGTGCACCGCCAGGTGTTATGGGCTTGGTGTGGCATGGCCTCCGGAGGGTGCACCGCCAGGAGGGCTCATTGGGGGAACCTCAGGTGTGGGATCAGGTGAGGGTCAGGAAAGCTTCATGAAGGTCAGATGATGATCCACTGCCTGAAGTTCTTCAAGGCCTCGTCCTGTTGTTTCTGCTGGTTTCTGACTATGGTCCTCTGGGGGGATTCTGGAGAACGGCAGGATATGAGTACTCAACCTGAAGGCAAACGGGAGCAGGGCTGGGGCTGCCACAGGCAGGGAGAGGTGTTGGGAACACGGTCACCCCCCGAGTTCCGGAGGTGGGCGAGCAGGAGACGGCACGTGTGGGGCCTGGAGGGTGGTGTGGAGACCTGAGGCCTTCATCGTAGCCCCTGCAGGCTGGACCCGCTGAGCACACACGATTCCCCACTGCTGCCCCGGCACAGAGTCCTCCCCTCCGCTCCCTTACAGCCTCATCACCAGCCTCCCACCTTCCTCCTGAGGGCGGCTGGGGACAGGCCTCGGCTGAGCCGGGGCCCCAGTGCTGAGGCCTCTAACACTTCTGTGTCTCTGGCACGTTCGAAGTGCCAGGCCCACACCGGGACATCTCCAGGAGCCCTCAGAGTAAGGACAAAGACTGTGCTGGAGAAGGGCAGCCCGCCCCCTCCCTCGGAGCCGGAGGCAGGAGCCAAGTGCTGCAGAAGCACCTGCCCCGTGCCCCAGCAGGGGCCCGTCCGGTTCTGGGGTGTTCTAAGCCTGAGCAGTTCCTGAGGGCCGCTGGGGAGCTGAGACCGAGCCAGTGCCTTCCCCACTCAGGGCCCACGCGCCCCACCCACCCCCTCCATCACGTGGGCCAGCCTGGAGGGCTGGGTGTGGTGGTGCCTCAGGTCCTCTCTGGGGAGGGGCATAGCGTGGCCCCAGGGTGGGGTTAGGGGAGCCCAGGGCTCACTCGCCCGGGGGATGTGGGGGCTTTGGGGTGCCGGGTCCACTTCCAGCCGCCATGGAGAGAGACATGGCACCTGGAAAACAGTGGGTTTCAGGGAGGATAAAGGGCCCCAGTACGACGTAGACGGCAGGTCTCTTGCTTTCAGGCCCAGCCAGGGGGCCTCCTGCTCCTGTGGAGGCAGGCCGTGGTGCTGGGGACGGGCCTGGCTGAGCTGCGCGCAGCCACGGAGAGGTGAGTGCCGGCCGCCCCACCTGGGTCCCCCTCGGGGAGAGGGGAAGGGATGCCTGGGGGCCCTCGGGGAGAGGGAAGGGGTGCCTGGGGGCCCTCGGGGAGAGGGGAAGGGGTGCCTGGGGGCCCTCGGGGAGAGGGGAAGGGGTGCCTGGGGGCCCTCGGGGAGAGGGAAGGGGTGCCTGGGGGCCCTCGGGGGGAGGGGAAGGGGTGCCGGGGCCCCCTCGGGGAGAGGGGAAGGGGTGCCTGGGGGCCCTTGGGGAGAGGGGAGGGATGCCTGGGCCCCCTCGGGGAGAGGGAAGGGGTGCCTGGGGGCCCTCGGGGAGAGGGGAAGGGGTGCCTGGGCCCCCTCGGGGAGAGGGGAAGGGGTGCCTGGGGGCCCTTGGGGAGAGGGGAAGGGGTGCCTGGGCCCCCTCGGGGAGAGGGGAAGGGGTGCCTGGGGGCCCTCGGGGAGAGGGGAAGGGGTGCCTGGGCCCCCTCGGGGAGAGGGGAAGGGGTGCCTGGGGGCCCTCGGGGAGAGGGGAAGGGGTGCCTGGGCCCCCTCGGGGAGAGGGGAGGGGATGCCTGGGCCCTCCCGTGGCTGCAGCAGCCCTCTCGGCCGGCTCCTCACCCGGCCCTGGCTAGGCCTCACCTGGGACAAATCCTTTGAAAACTGAGGCAGGGAGAGGGACCAGGCCACCTCCTGCCCCGTGTGAAGGACAGCCACGCCCCGTCTGGGGGTCTGTGAGCCCCACTGAGATCATGGAAGGTTTCAGACCCCCCCATCCACATGGGGGGCTCAGAGGTCTCTCAAGGGCAGCTTCAGCAGAAAGTGGGGAGCAGCTCCCAGCAGGGGCCTAACCTGCTGGCCACAGGCTCCCGGGACCGATGGGCTCGCACAGTGATGAGGCAGCCGAGGAGGGTGGCTGGGGACAGGCACAAACGGGCCAGGGAGTCAGGTGGGGGACGCCAAGGAGACATGAGAGGAGGGCGGCGAGGACGCTGTGGGGGGGACACCTACCCACTTCTGGGCTCCATGCAGCCCTCGCTGAGCGCCACCCCTCCCCTGCCAGCCCTCAGGTGCGTGGCACCCCTTTCCCAGAAGGAGTCTGGGCTGAGGGTAGGTGTCTCAGTGAAGGCTGCTGAGGCTGGAAGTGTGCAGCCCGGGCCCGCCCCTGCTCACTCCCCCACAGCTACCTTCCTGCTGTTTGGTGACACAGGGGCACAATCAGTGCCACACGCTGGGGACTTCTCCTGGGATGCCCAGGGAGGGGTCCTCTGCGGTGCTAATGGGACCAGGCCCTCCCTCCACTGGGTCCTGAGTCAACCACGGGAGCCACCCTTGTCTCCCAGGGGCCTCGCTGACCTGCAGGCAGACACGGCCAGGACCGCCCGCCACCTGCACACCGCCTGCCTGAACCTGGACTCCAACCTGCGGCTGTCGGCCAGCAGCACAGCCCGCACCCTGGGGCAGCGGCTTCAGGACACTAGCCCCGGGGACGCAGAGAAGGCGGCGCTCCAGGCCAGGTGGGCACCCAGGGCCAGCAGGCTGGCACAGGGAGGGCCCAAGGGGGCGGGGCCCAGCCAGCTGGCCAAGCAGCTGTGGCTCCCAGCTGTGGTAGAATGGGCCCGGGGCAGGTGGGGCCCTGATGTCACAGGTGCTGCGCACGCTTCAGGATCACCATCCCAGAGGCACAGGGCATTCCCCTAATGCCCAGGAGGTAGGCGCTGGGGTCTCCCACAGTGAGGGTTTCAGGGAGCACGGCAGGAAGCTCACTGGGACGGTGCTCTCGCGGTCAGCACCCAGAACTGGAGTGTACAGGACTCAAAGCAGGAACACTTTTCCAGGGACAAGAGCTCACCTGGGGTAAATCGTTTGACAATGGGGCAGGGAGAGGGACCAGGCCACCTCCTGCCCCGTGTGAAGGACAGCCACGCCCCAACTGGGGGTCTGTGAGGCCCGCGTGATTGTGGAAGGTTTCGGACCCCCCATCCACACAGGGGGCTCAGAGATCTCTCAAGGGCAGCTTCAGCAGAAAGTGGGGAGCAGCTCCCCAGTGACCTAACCTGATGGCCATGGGGCCGATGCCTCACAAGCTGGGGTCCAAGGCCCCCCTGGCCACAAACACCCCGCCAGGCTGACAGCCCTCCCTCCCCTCTGGGGGTCCAGCTGAGTCAAACACACCACAGCCCAGCCCCAAAGGAGCAGTGCAGGATGTGGGGGCCCACGGTGCTGGACAGCTGCAGGAGCTGCATGCCAGGGCCTGAGGCACAGGAAGGGGAACCCAGGGTCTTTAGGAAGAAGGAAGGAACATCACTCCTTGCTAGACTGATGGCGACAGGTGCTCTGAGCAGAAGGGCTGGCCGGGCAAAGGCCTGTGTGGGCACTCCCTCTGCTGTGCCGCAGGACAGGGCAGAGCCTGGGGCAGTCAGTGCACTTGAGTCTGCAGAGGGCCAGGGTGTAGGCCTTGGCTCCTGAGACCATGGGAGCCACTGAAGGCTCTGGAGCAGGAGAGGCACGTGCTCAGACCAGGGACGGAGAGCACTCAGAGGTGTCGCCCAGCAGCGGCAGGGACCTGGCATGCAGGAACCTGGCAGAGCCAGGGTATGCTCAGGTGCCCATCCTCTGGGCCCTGCCCCTCACCCACCACCCCCCAACTCCTTCCAGGCTCTCAGAGCAAACGCTGCTGGTGGAGAAGCTCACAGAGCAGAATGAGCGGAGGGCGAGGACCATCGCTGCCCTCAGAACCGACCTGCAGAACCTGGTTGGTGGGTGGGACGGGGTGGCTGTGGGTGGGGGTCTGTCAGCCTCGCTCAGGCGTCTCCCCCGCCCAAGGAAGCCCGGTGTAGGGGCAGCCGGGGAGGGCAGAGGATGGCCTGCAGGGTGAGGTGGGGTCCCTGTAGTGCACTCTGAGGCGCATCGGGAAGGGGCGGCCCCTCGCCTGTCCCCCTGGTAGTGAAGGGGGAGCTGGCCTGCAGGGACCCTCAGGACGGTCTGCGCGATCCCCAAGTCACGGCCCTGCGCTCTGGGCCTCTCTGCACCTTGAAGGTGGCGGAGGAGGGTGAGCAGTGCCCGGAGCCGGGATGGAGCCCCGGCACTGAAGGGGAGAAGGCGCAGCGCCCACCGAGGGGCCCCCCACGTGCCACGTCCCCCCACCAAGGGGCATCCCTGCCACGTACCCACTCCCAGGCTGCCCTGGACCCCACACTGCAGGCCGTGCGGGCAGCCATCAAGAGGCGGCGGCAGCGGGAGCAGGTGGGCAGCCAAAGCCCGTGGGACCCCCGTCTCCCTGAGGGCAGAGCCATGAGCGCCTCAGGCTGAAGGGCAGTTACGGGGCCTGCCCGAGCCCCATGACCCCAGGGAGGGGCTCCGGTGTCTTTTCTGCGGAGTCGCAAGTCCTGGTGGTCCTCGGTGGGCAAAGCCTGCCTGAGGGCCCACACTGCACCCACCCGGGCAGGAGCTGTGCCTGCAGCTGGAGTCGTCCCAGGCCCTGGCGGCCGGGCTCCGGGAGCAGCTGTCCGAGTGCCAGCGGGAGCTGTGGGCCGCGCAGCAGCGGGCTCGGGGGCAGGAGGCCCTTCGGGGCCAGCCGGAGGCCCAGGGGCTGGAGGAGCAGCAGTGCCGGGCGTCCTGCAAGCTCCTGGGGAGGTAACGGAGTGAAGGGGCTGCCCGGCCCTGCTCAGGGTGTGTGGGACCCTGAGGGCCCAGGACTGCTGTCAGGACCGCGCCCCTAGAGCGGGAGGGGACCCGGCGGGGAGGGGCCTTTCCTTCCAGCAGAGTTCTGTGGCCACCGGCAGAGCAGGAGCCAGGGTGGGACGCATCCACTCGTGAGACCCTGTGTGCTTCGGGGGCTGCCTCTGCCCATGCGGTCTCGGGCTGGCATCCACCCCTCCCGACTGCCCAAGGCACGCTGTGCACCTCGAATGTGTCCAGGGCTGCCCCCGCTCTGCCCCCTCCATCCCCAGGGAGAAGGCTGCTCTGGAGATGGCGGTGGGGCAGCTGAGAGGGCAGGCAGGTGCTGCAGATGTGGAGAAGCGGGGGCTGGAGGCCCCGGAGCTGCAGGAGGAGCCTCGGGAGGAGCTGGCTCTGCGGAGGCGGCGGAGCGGCAGGGCCCTGGAGACCAGGTGTGCCGGCGAGCAGGCGGCGGCTGGGCGGGCAGGGCCCCTCCCGAAAGAGAGACCCCTCGCTGCCACCCTGGGCCTTGGGCCTGCTTCTGCAGTCTCACCTCAGGGTGCGGGCGGCCCTGACGGGGAGGGCGCTCTGCAGGCTCCTTCCAGTCTGCACCATCCTCCAGACCCAGATCCCACTCCTGTGACCCAGTGCTCCCCCCGGGGGACATCTCCCACCCTGTGGGCCCAGCAGATGTGGGGCCCCATTCCCCCGCCGAGGCACCCGTGCCTCCTCCGCCCCAGAAACGAAGCCGGAAGCCAAGGGCTCCCTGCCTCCCGGGTCCTCCCGGGAACCCCATGCTCCTCCTGGGCTCCCCGGGCTTGGAAGGGGTCGCAGGCAGTCTCCTCCCTGAAATCTCACGGGGCAGCCGCTGCTCACCCTCAGAGCCCCCCGCCCTCTGGTCTGGGGCCTCAGTCAAGGCCGCCTGCAGCAGCTGGAAGAGAAGGTCTCCGGGCTCAGGGAGGAGCTGGCTTCAGCCCGGGAGGCACTGAGCATGGCACAGCTCCAGCGGGACGTCGTGGAGAGCGAGAGGGAGGCCCTGCACCGTGCCCTGGCCCGGGTACACTCTGCCCGCCCGCCCCCCCCCCCCGGTCTGCCCCCACTCACCCCGCCCCCTCCCGTCTGTCCCCACCCGCCCCGCCCCCTCCCGTCTGTCCCCACCCGCCCCGCCCCCTCCCGTCTGCCCCCACCCACGCTGCCCTCCCATCTGTCCCCTCACCCCCTCTCCCATCTGCCCTCCCAACCCTCCCTCCCATCTACCCCCATCCCCCCTCCCATCTGCCACCCTCCACCCCATCCTCCCATCCACCCCCACCCGCCCTGGCCTCGCTGACCTGGCCTCCCACTCCCTCTCTCCTGCCTGCCGGGACCTTCAGCCCATCACCAGAGCTCTGTCCCCAGCCAGCAGGCACCAGCCTGGCATGGCTGCTCTCAACCTTGCTGGGCATGCCTGCTTCTTCGTGGCCTCTCCCCAGCCCACCAGCCACGTCCTCTGGCTGGAGCCTCAGTGCCTGGAGCCACCAGTGGCCCTGAGACCTCTGACTGTGGGGACCGTCCCACCATGCCTGCTCCAGAGCGCTGGCTTGCACACCGCCGTGGCTCAGGGCTCACTCCTTCCCCAGCAGCAGCAGACCTGCCCTGGAAGCTGAAGGTCTCTCCCTGGTGCCCCTCCCTGTCCCAGGCCGAGTGCGGCAATGCTGACCTGGAGCTTCTCGTGAGGCGGCTGAAGTCAGAGGGAGTGCAGCAGAGGGACTCCCTGGCTGCCATGGCCACCCTGATGGACGGTCTGGCTCAGGACAAAAGTGTGCTGACCCACCTGACCCTCCAGGTGAGACGAGGCGGGGGTGGGGCTTCCGGGTGGCTGTGGGTCTCTGGCCCTGGGCCTTTCTTCCATCCTCCCAGATCACTCCCTCTCCTGGGCCAAGGTTTTGGGGATGAGGAGCCTGGCTGGCCCTGACCAGGCCCGAGGGAGGGAGGACAGTGTGCCTGGGGCAGGCCTGGGGGTGGCCGCAGGGCCCGAGGGTGCGGGGGCTGGATGCAGAGCCCTGACCCCTGGTGGTAGCTGGAGCAGGAGCGAGACCAGCTGCGGGAGCAGCAGAAGGCTCTGGAGCAGGAGCAGGCCCGGGCCAGGGAGCAGCTGGCGAAGGCGGAACAGCAGCTGGCACTGGAGCAGGCGGAGCGCAGGGGCCTGGAGCAGCGGCAGGAGCAGCTGGAGGGCCAGGCAGCCTTGCTGGGGCGAGAGAAGGCCCAGCTCCAGGAGCAGGTGGTCCAGGTGAGGATGCCCGCAGGGCCCGCTGCTGCCTCCTGGGACGTGGCTGGGTCGCAGGTCCTGCCTAAGGTACTTCTGGGAGTCAGGCAGGCTCAGGATGTCCACACCAGCTCTTTCTGTCTTGGTAAAGGCCAGGCCCAGCGCTGGCCTCCCCAAGGGAGGGGGGGCGCAGAGGCAGGGTCTGCAGAGAAGATTGCCATCAGGCCTGGCCTCCGTCTCCCCCCGACCCCTTGGCCGGGGAGCCGGGCGTCAGGCTAGTGACGTCTGCACGCGAGGCCCTTGGAGAGCTTTGGCTTCGCTCTGCTGCCTGCTCCTCCCCGGGCCACACCCACACAGCAGAGCTCTGCGAGGGTCTCCCCGGGCCGCGCCCACGCAGCTGAGCTCTGCGAGGGTCTCCCCGGGCCGCGCCCACGAAGCTGAGCACTGTGAGGGTCTCCCTGGGCCGCGCCCATGCAGCTGAGCTCTGTGAGGGTCTCCCCGGGCCGCGCCCACACAGCAGAGCTCTGTGAGGGTCTCCCCAGGCCGCACCCACGAAGCTGAGCGCTACGAGGGTCTCCCCGGGCCGCGCCCATGCAGCTGAGCTCTGTGAGGGTCTCCCCGGGCCACACCCACGAAGCTGAGCTCTGCGAGGGTCTCCCCGGGCCGCACCCACGAAGCTGAGCGCTGCGAGGGTCTCCCCGGGCCGCGCCCACGCAGCAGAGCTCTGCGAGGGTCTCCCCGGGCCGCGCCCACGCAGCTGAGCTCTGCGAGGGTCTCCCCGGGCCGTGCCCACGCAGCAGAGCTCTGCGAGGGTCTCCCCGGGCCGCACCCACGAAGCTGAGTGCTGCGAGGGTCTCCCCGGGCCGCGCCCACGCAGCTGAGCTCTGCGAGGGTCTCCCCGGGCCGCGCCCACGCAGCTGAGCGCTGCGAGGGTCTCCCCGGGCCGCGCCCACGCAGCTGAGCTCTGCGAGGGTCCTCCCCGGGCCGCGCCCACGAAGCTGAGCTCTGCGAGGGTCTCCCCGGGCCGCGCCCACGCAGCAGAGCTCTGCGAGGGTCTCCCCGGGCCGCGCCCACGAAGCTGAGTGCTGCGAGGGTCTCCCCGGGCCGCGTCCACGCAGCTGAGCTCTGCGAGGGTCTCCCCGGGCCACACCCACACAGCAGAGCTCTGCGAGGGTCTCCCCGGGCCGCACCCACACAGCAGAGCTCTGCGAGGGTCTCCCCGGGCCGCGCCCACGCAGCTGAGCTCTGCGAGGGTCTCCCCGGGCCGCGCCCACGCAGCTGAGCTCTGTGAGGGTCTCCCCGGGCCGCGCCCACGCAGCTGAGCTCTGCGAGGGTCTCCCCGGGCCGCGCCCACGAAGCTGAGCTCTGTGAGGGTCTCCCCGGGCCGCGCCCACGAAGCTGAGCTCTGTGAGGGTCTCCCCGGGCCGCGCCCACGAAGCTGAGCGCTGCGAGGGTCTCCCCGGGCCGCACCCACGAAGCTGAGCTCTGTGAGGGTCTCCCCGGGCCGCGCCCACGAAGCTGAGCTCTGTGAGGGTCTCCCCGGGCCGCACCCACGAAGCTGAGCTCTGCGAGGGTCTCCCCGGGCCGCGCCCAGGCAGCTGAGCTCTGCGCCGGTGCATTCACTGCTGCGTCCATGCATTCGTTCCCAATCCCCCTGTCTTTTGTTGAGGAAGCTCAACTCGATGGAGAACGGAACAGTCTTGTTTTTTCCAATCCCTCCCCGTTCATCCGTGCAGAAGGCCCGTCCGTGCTGGCTTTCAAGCCCCCACGGCTCAGATTCTGTGGCGCCTGTCACACGCGGGACAGCTCAGCTCTCTTTCCGTTTTCTGTCCTGAACTTTTTGGGGGTCATCTTTTTCCTCTTTTGCTATTGAAGTATAATTGGCATTTAATAAGTCAGTGTACAGTGTTAGTTTTGACAATTGTGCAAACCCGTGTAGCCACCACCAAGATCAAGACGTAGAACGTTTTTGTCAGCCCAGCAGGCTCCCCCACGTCCCTTCAGCCACTGCCCAAAGCCCCCGGCCCCCACCCAGGCGGCCTCTGCTCTGACGTGCTGTGCCGTGAGCTGGATGCACCCGCTTTAGAGCTCCTTATAAATGGAGTCACGCAGTGCGGGCGCTTCGTGTCCAGCTTCTCTCCCTCAGTATAATCTCCTTTATCCACACACGTTGTTCAGCATATCACGAGCTCTTTCTTTTTACCTGCGTAGATACATTCCTTGGGGTGAGTAACGCACTTTTGCTTACTCATCCACCGGATACTGGACATTTGTACTGTCCAGCAACGATGTTTCCGATACATCTGGTCCTGCCCACAAAGGGTGCTTTTATCTGTCACTGGGGCCAGCAGCCAGGTGATGTGAACGCTGAACGCTGCCTGCAGAGAGCATGGTGGCTCACGCCTCGGACTCATGGTGTGTTATGTGACACACCTGCCGATATGGTTCGGATTTGTGTCCTCACCCAAATCTCACGTCAGATTGGAGGAGGGGACTGCTGGGAGGTGACTGGTTGGGGACTGCGATGGCAGGGCCGGTATAAACCTCCTTGTACAAGTCACATACATATAGTTTTACTTTTCCTGACTGAATACTGGGAGCAAAAAACTGCACACTTCCTGCATAGGTGTGTGTTGAACTTTTATCAGAAACAACCAAGCAGCTGTCAGAAAAAGCAGGCAGCTTTCCAAAAGGGCTTCAGTCACTTTGCTGCAGCCAGCAGATTAGGAAGGTTCCGGTTGCCCCTCTGCTCTCCCGATGTTGGGTACTGTCTGTTTCTGTTTTGTTTTTAGCTCTTCTGTGTGTGTGAAGTGACACGTCACTGAAGTTTTCAATTCCATTTCCCTGGTAACTAAAAATATCGGACGCATTTTCATCACTCGTTGGATACTCGCGCTTTATTTTACCAGCTGTCAAATCTTTTTCCCATTTTAAAGTTGGGATTTTGCATTTTGGTTATGAATATACAGGAATTTATATGTCATGATGCAAGTCCATCGTCAGACACAGGTCCTACGCGTATTTCCCCCAAGGTGTGGCTGCCTGTACATTTTCTCAATGATACTTTTTATGGAGGACATAAAAGTTTAACTCTGGCAAACTCCAATGTATCTATTTCTTTTTTTAGTCTTACAATTAGTATTTTCTAGGTTCTGTCTGAAAAACGGTTGCCTACCCCAAGGATGAGAAGATACCCTCCTACGTCTTACCTGGCTTTCACATGCAGATCCTACCATCCATTTCAAGTTTATTTCTGGGTACAGCAGGGGTTTGCCATGTGCACTGCCCAGGCTAGCAGCATAAACATCGCCTGGTGACATGGTTGAGCTCTGTGTCCCCACCTAAATCTCACAGCGAATTGGAGCAGGAGCCTGGTGGGAGGTGATTTGTTCATGCGGGCAGATCTCTCCCTTGCTGGTGTCTTCATGGTGAGTGAGTTCTCACGAGATCTGAGGGTTTAAAAGCGTGTGGCGCTTCTCCCTTTCCTCTCTCCTGCCTCCATGTGAAGAGGGTGCCTGCTTCCCCCTTCACCTTCTGCCATAATTGCAAGTTTCCTGAGGTCTCCCAGTCACACCTTCTGTCAAGCCTGAGAACTCTGAGGCTATTCAACCTCTTTTCTTAATAAATCACCCAGTCTCAGGTAGTTCTTTATAGCAGGGTGAGAAAAGACTGATACACCTGGGGACTTCTTAAAAATGCAAATACGCATGCCTCACACAAGACTGACTTACTGAATCAGAAACTCTGTGGGCAGGATCCAGAAATCTGGATTTTAATCAGCCCCCCGTGAGATTCTGCTGCACACTAAAGTGTGAGAGCCAGACTGTGTGGTATGATGTGAGAACTAAGGTCCATTATTTTTCATGCTGATTTCCAGTTTTTCCAGCACCATTTTTTATAAGTCTCTCCTTTCATTCTTGAATAACTCTGGCAACTCGAAAATAAATTGATCATATAAGTGGGATTTGTTGATCTGTGCGAATCAATCTGTTCATTCTTTCACCAAAACCATACTGTCTTGATTACAATAGCTTTTTAGTAAGTCTTGAAATTGGGTAGGGTACACACATCCGCCTTGTTCTTTTTCAGGATTGTTTTGGCTGTTCTAAGTCCTTTGTACAGGCATATACATTTCAGAGTCATCTTGTCCATTTCTTCTTCCCTCCCCTGCAAAAAAGGCCTTCCAGTACTTTGATTAAAATTGTTTAGAATTTATAGATCAACCTGAGGAAACTGGACATCTTGAATATAGCGAATATTATATCCATCAATATGGTATACCCCTCCATGTCTTTTTTTTTTTTTTTTAAGATGGGGTTTCACCATGATGGCCGAGCTGGTCTTGAACTCCTGACCTCAGGTTATCCACCCACCTCGGCCTCCCAAAGTGCTAGGATTACAGGCATGAGCCACAGCGCCTGGCCCCATCTCTCCATGTCTGCATTTCTCTCAGCCATGTTTGTAGTTTTCAATGTAGAGGTTTCTTGCACGTCTTTGATGAGGTTAATTCTAGATCTTATAGCATCAGTTATATTATTATTTTAATGTCATTTTCCTATTGTTCATTATCAGTATATAGAAATACAATTTCATATGTTTATTTTGAGTCATGTGACCTTGACAGATTTACTTATAAGTACTAAGGTTGTATGTTTATGTAATTATTCATCTGTAGCAACAGTTTCACTTTTTTTCTTATCTGAATACGTTTTATTTCTTCTTCTTGTCTTATTGCGCTAAGACCTGCAGAGAAAAATTGAACGTAAGGATGAGAATGGCCATACTTCCACCCAACGCAATCATGGGGAAAGAATTTGATATTTCACCATTACATATGACGTTATCTGTGGGCTTTTCATAAATGCTCTTTATCAGAGTAAGGAAGTTTCCTTTCACTCCTCGTATGCTGATTTTTTTAAATTATAAATGGGTACTGGGTTCTGCTAAATGCTTTTTTCTGGAACTATTAAGAGGAGCACCTCATTGTTCTCCTTACGTTGTTAATGCAGTGAATTTTATATATA